TTTTTTTTTTTTTTTTTAGTGAATATCAGGAGCCAGAGTTTGCGGCGCACCTCTCTCTTCTGTTGAGCGGGGACACTATTTTCGAAAGACTGTCAGAATGATCGCCCTGTGCAATTAGAAAGCCATGAACAAATGGGAGAGGTGTTTTAGTTCCGGAAACATTGCCTGACTGAAGGCTAATACGTAATAGTGTTCTTTTATTGTGTGTAACATGTTTCATATATTTATTATTAATACATGAATTAAAAATGTAATACACGTCTGTTATGTGAGTAGGAGCCGTAATTGCTATAATTCTCATAGTTTTCATGCTTCTGAAAACATTTCATTAGCGCATTTAAGAATGAACTATTTGTCATATTAACCCTTCTACTAGTACTATATGTGCCGTAGTGATTAGCCTACAGGCTTGATGACCGTGGAAACGGAGTTTGATTTCCGGCAGGAGCAATATATTTCTGTCTAGACCGGCTCTGGGGCCGACCCAGCCGTATATGTAATTTGTAGGGGGAGGGGCTCATTTCCCTGGAGTTAAGCAGGTGGGACGTGAATTTTGCCATTTACCTCCTCCTAGTGCCGAAGTTAAAATTTCACCGAGCTATACTTCCACTCATCCATACGTCTTCATGGCAGCTTGCTTTATTAGGCACAAGGAAAATTTTACTTTACCCCTCTATGTAGTTAATGAGCCCGGGTAGCGTAGCCGGTATAGTGACTGACTACAGACTGAACGACCGAGGGGTCGGAGTTCGAGCCCCGGTGGGGTCAGAATTTTCTCTTCTCCATATCATCCATACCGGCTCTGGGGTCCACAAAACCTATCCAATGGGTACCGGGGTAAAGCGGTAGGGGCGTGAAGCTTACCTCTCACCTCCAGCTAGTGCCGAGGTCAAGAAAATGTGGATCTATACATCCACTCCCCCATGCATCTTCATGGCGTAGTGCTTAGTTAAGCACAGGGACAACTTTACCTTACGCTATTTGCAGGCTGCACAACACGTTCGAGAAGTGACGAGTGCTGCCAATGAGCTGACAGTATAAATGTTTAAGTGATGAGACAAAGCGTATCTCCTTCAGGCGGAAACGCATGTTAACACGGGATCTGCTGATTGTTTCAGGGGCAGAACGGATTTGAGGAACTGCGGCGTTACATCAAGCAGGGCGGCGACTTCTGTAAGGACCTCAGCTCCATATTACAGGAGAGGTACGTGACTCCACGGCGCGTATATGATAGTTACTCATCTGATCAACAAATTTCACACAATATTTCATTGGAATCTGTCCTAAGCCTGTTTAATCCTTGTCTCTAAGACCCATTTTATAGATCTCCTATGCCTACGCCTCCCAAGCAGCCTGCTCCTGAGATTCTACTACAGAATTTATATATTTATTTCTATCTCTCCATGCATGCTACATGCCCCTCCCAAGTCATATCCCTTATTTTAATCGCCCTACTGACATTGGTGAACTGCATACCTTGGAATACAAAGGATAGCTTAGTATTATGATTACCGCGACATCTGGGTTTGATTCCGGGGAGGGGCAGAAATTGGTTTCTGCTTCGTAGCATCCAGATCGGATCTGAAGCCCAACCAGCCTCTTCCCCCGAGGATAAAGCGGCCGGAGAGTGAAGCTACATCTAGTGCCGAGGTTCAGAATGCAAGGAACTCTCCATCTGCTCCCGTGTGTACGTGTCCGTGGTGTGGTACTTAGTTAAGCATAGAGGAAGTTTTGCTTTTTAGCTTTTGTAGTAGAATTTATGAAGCTCCTCACTGTGCAGTTTCCTCGGTCCTTGGGTACAATCATGTACCTGCATGCTATACTTAACCTTTAGGATTTTAAACGCGAGGCGGAAAGGGAAAAGATACGAAACTACACGGCAACATGATGTACGTAAGTACTGCTTCTTAAGCAAGAGGGCCATGCGAGGCCTAGGGATGTGGGTTTGCAACCCCTGAGTAAAACGTTTATATAAGGGCGGCGACAGGATTGGAATACTAATTCAAGCGAGCGTGAAGATTCGCCACTCGCTCCGAGTTACCGTTCAGTGACCCACTGTGTCAAATTGTTGCGCACAGCATGAATTACAGAGTATACGCGTGCGCCATAGGTTTGTTTCCCCCTTCCGGAGTTGAATTCTGTTAAGAAAAATATTTTTCCCTTGTTTATGCTTAACCATGGTAACTGAAAGGTAATTTCCATTTAATTAATGAAGATAAGGTAGAAGAAACATTGTCTCGTCAAGACAATTAAAGAATGGAATAGTGAAGTTGTTCAGATCGCAACTGACTGGTTCTGTGTGAGATATGTCGTTCTTAACATGGAAAGAGTTGTCCGCAGCCATGCGCAGTTGTTAAAGTGAGTGAAAAGTAAAGTAAAAGTATCCCTGTAACAGGCCGTGGAGGTCCATATGGTTGTGAGATGTTTAGATTCGCACATTTTCTAGACATTCGGCTCATACATGGCGGTAAGGTTGTCAGCCTTACGCTCCAGCCGCCCTTTATCCCCCGAAGAATATTCTGGTACTCATTTCTGTTAGAGGCTGAGTCGACCCTAGGGCCATAGTGCTGCTGGAGAGATTAGGTAAATTAAAAAAAATCCAGTGACCTCATCGGAATTCGATCCCGCGACCTTCCGGCTTGTAGCATAGCCTCAACCGTGCCCCCAAGCTATGAGAGATCTGTCAGTAAATGTCGGTACTGCCTGAGTTACCGCTGTCACCTCGACGTGTATGAACACCAGAGACACCTCCTTCGTCTTGCAGTTTGGATACCTTGCTTACTGTCGCTGTTTCAGCCACCAGAATTCCAAAAGACACGTGGGTTCAAGGTTGTTCATGGCATTAAATACTGAATTACCTTATGAAGTTAAGTGGTGAATGAATTCTGGAGGTAAGTTGCCACTCTTACCTCCTGCCTTGGAGGAAACAGACTTCAGAACTTATTGGGATCGGAGACTGGTTCATAGTGACCAATATAATGAGATGATTTTTGGGATAACTCTGCCCTTGGATGAATTCAGGTGGTGAGTGATCACATTCACCCTCCTTCCTCATTTACTCTCAGAGAAACAGACTGTGGGTCCAGTTGTATTGATGGCTGACTGGCTGATAGTGCAAGCATGTAGTTTGGGACAATAACTTCTGCCTTTGACGAATTCTGGAGGTGAGTGTTCACATTCACTCTCAGGGAAACAGACTACAGATCCAGCTGACTGGAATCCAGACTGATCCTGCTTCATCCAGCTGGTGTGGGCAGGTAGTTTGGGATAATAACTTCACTCTATGATGCATCCTGGAGGTATAGGGTAGCTTCACCCTCCAGTTACCTTTACCATTAAAGAGAGGAAGCAAGGAACCTACTGGATAAATGTGGAGGCTGGTTCTGGCCCAACCTGTAGAGTCGAGCCTGCTACTGGTTTTGTTGTTACAGGTCAGAAGCAGAGACACAGTATGCCAAGAGCCTGAGTAAGCTGTCTGGTAAGCTGCTGAAGGCCTCCAAGGACTCTGTGGGGACTGTGAACCAGGCCTGGCAGCGGGCAGGTGCACAGATGGAGGCACAGAGCGAGATTCACAGGTAAGGAACTTCCCCAGGCTTGTGAGGCACAGAAACTGAAGCCAGTCATGCAGCCTGAGGAAGCACCACTTAGTGCTTTAGATGCACAAGAAGAGTGGAAATATGTGCTCTACCAGAGTACATACATTTTCTAAATCTATAGATCCTACTTTTCTGTATATATACAACACTTTTTATAGACACGTAAATTTAGATTGTTTTCTTCTGGGTTATGACTCCATGTAATCTGATGAATGGTTACCATTGTTTCTAGGGAACCTGTTCTCATCCATGTTTGGAGTAGAAGTGAATGTTGAGTCATTATGTTTCTGTAAAATGTTGGAAACCACCTACCACCACTACATGGTGTCGCAATCCAGAAGATAATGACATGGACACTGTGGACCTTGTTTGCTTTACTTTGATGCTGAATGTGGAATAATTTTGTGTCTTCTTTTGTTTTATATAATCACTGATGTCCCCACATTTCACTCTACCATCCTGTGGCTTTAGAATGCTATACACTGTCACCTCGTTTGTAAAATATTTCACTCTGAAATTTTAAGTTATTTTATGGTGTGTCTCCATAACAAAATTTCACATCTAGCTGCAACGTGATATTAATCATCATCATTAAACAGAAAACTGAATAAGTTTTTGTCTGGGCATCATGTTTTACATTACCTGAAGAGAAGTTGCATATTTTTCTAAGATCTCTAACCATGCCATATTTCAGAACTGTATATTTCGTGATCTGGTACAATAGGCCAGAAGTGGCCACAGTAAAAGGAGCTTAGTCCCACCCCACCAACAATAATAATAATAATAATAATAATAATATTTCATGATGTTCTCACCTAAGAAGTCTGCACTACATTGATATTATTGATGATGGGGAATTAAAAAGTACTATGGACTCTGCCGAATGAGTTGGGGTTGGTAAGGAGATTAGTCTAAAAATGAACAGTAACATGAATATTCACCCAGTTGGTGGAAATATCAGCTGATAATATCTGTATGCACTGTGTTGCAGAAGGAATTCCTCATCCCTCTCTTCATGTAGTTGTGTTTCAGCTGTGAAACATTACATAAAGTGTGTTGGCTCAAGTGGTAATGCAGGGCACTGATTATCTTAATAAGATTTTGGGGTCTTCCTCATTCCCTCCAGGAAAATACTGGGGTGGTACATAAAAATATATTGTGACCACTTTCTCTTATGTTACATATTTCCAGTTCATTACCATCCAATCATTCTGTATTACAGCGCTATGAAATAAAGTACAAATAAATTAATGAAATAAGACATCACATTCCAGTTGTGGCTTTGAAAGTTTGGGGCTCCACTGATCTCAAATCTGTTTGTAGGGCATTTGCGACAGCGCTGAGTGAAGAGGTGGTGAAACCATTGCGACAGTTGGTGGAGGCCCAACACCGGATCCGGAAATCAGTGGAAGCAGCTGTAGACAAGACAGGCAAGAGTCTCAGCGAATGGAGGTCAGCTGAAAGCAAAAGCAAGAAACAGAGCTTTCTGTGTGCCCGGGAGAATGAGAAGTTGCAGGATGCCATGTTTGATGTGAAGCTTGGGCGTGCCTCGTCCACCACGCACTTGCATCTGACAGGGACAGGGCAGCAGCAGGCTGGCAAGGACAAGGAGAGTGCTAAGGTATGTTAGTATTTGAGTATCAGCTGCAGTGAGAGAGCTGACAGTGTAGCATCCTCACTAAAGTGACATAGATACAGTACTGCATGAGAAATGGCAAGCATGGCAGAAAACTACAAATATGTGCTGTCGCCTCTTTCTGCCAGGCATCCATATTGGCTTGCAACCTCTTCTCTCGCATGGCGGCCGTCCTTTCTTGGATGGCTCTTGTTTCTGCTCGGGTGGCTTCAGTTTCTGCGACAATCTTTTCTCGCCAGGCGGCCATCTCTTCCCGCCAGGCTTTTCTATCGGCCGACTCATTTTCCTGGTCGGCCCTCATTTCTTTCAGCATCTCATCTGTTCTTTCTTGGCCAGCGCTGATTTTCTTCAGCAAGAGTTCCAACATCTGCTGCATTTCCATTTTTTTTTATAGGACGCGTGTTAAAGTTCGAAGTCACTTCTGACACCAATGTCACGTATTGAGTTCGAATCTTGTCAGTCACGTGTGTAGTTCGATCCCACTTCTGACACCAATGTAGCGTGTTTTGGGTGTGTCACGCTACAAATGAGTTCACGCTGTAGTCTCAATATAGCGAATTTATTCCTTTCGCTCACTTACACACTTTACAATCATTTTCGCCTGCAGTGTCACAATCACTGCTTACAATATTCCGGCGATACTGGACCCAGACGGATATTCCGAAGCTTCTCCTCCGAAGGCTGTTCCGCGACTCACTGTTTCTCGCTGAAGCCGGGCTATCTATAACCTTGCCCGCTGTTAGGCAACGAACCCCCCGTTATAACCATGGAGACTCCTGTTAGAATTACCATGGAGCAATTGTTGTCTCCTCTGTAACGGTCTATTGTAGCGTTTCCATAGAAGTTACTCCTCGGGTTTGCCGACACGTTACAATATAATACAGTGCCCAGTACTGAAGTAAGTGTTTCTTGCTCTGTTGTCTTCAGCTGGAATCGAAACGTCGGAAAGCAGAGGAGGCCGTGAAGAAGGCAGATGTGGAGTACTACACATTCAGCATGAGGGCAGAGCGAGCGAGGTAACTGATGGTGTGTGTAGAGAGAGAGAGCAACTTGAACCTGGAGAGGATAAACTGGGTACTGATGCAGTTCTGTATTGCAGATTAGAGTGGGAGACAGCTGTGATCCGTGGCAGTCACTGTTTCCAGGCGCTAGAAGAGGAGCGCTTGCAACAACTCAAGGACTTAGCGGCATGCTATCTCAATCATCTTCAGGAGATGGGACCAAAAATAGTTCAGGTGAGGCCCTGTTTTTTTGACAGAGATTTACTAATCTTCTGTTGCTAAATATGTGTAGTTGAAATTAGTAGAGAGAGAAGAACAATTTTATATGTTCTTTGCAGGAAGTGTAAAAAAAATGAACTCATACTGGGGAATGTGTGTGTCCAGCCATCCATCTACATGTTTCAGCTCTGATACTGATCAACAAATGTCAGTGATGTTTGGCTTTAGGAGACTGCACTAAACATTGCTGAGTGAAACTGAATTAAAATTAAACACATAATGCAATTACAAGAAGAATAAATTATTTAAATGTTTATTGTTATTATTATTATTATTATTATTATTATTTAAGTTCAGAGATTATTATCAACACATCAGCTTATCAAAATACTCATTTTATTTAAGTAAAACAGCTGTTATCAGTACATCTTATAAGTAAGATCATAAGGCTGCGCCATAGCTCAAGGACTTAGTCGCTGGCTTCCCACTGCGGTGGCCTGGGTTCGATCTCGGGTCTGGTCAAGTGGGTTTTGTGGTGGACAAAGTGGCGCTGGGGCAGGTTTTCTCCAAGTACTTCGGTTTCCCTTGCCAATGTTCATTCCACCGATTGCTCCAAAATCATCCTCACCTATCATCTGGGGCTGGTGCAATAGGCCAGAAGTGGCCACAATACAAGGGACTTAGTCCCACCCCACTAGCAATAAAAAAAAGTAAGATCATAAAACTGTTGTTAACACATCTAATTATCAAAACGCATATTACAATTAACTCCAAAAACTATTATCAGGACATCTACTCTCCAAATCCCACATGTCAGAATGTATGAACTTGTGAATCTTGGCCTCCTACGGTGAGGGAACAATGTAACTGTATTCAGCAAAATATTTGGACTTGAGATGGATACAGGAAGACAGGATAGACAAACTGTTATGTGGCTACTCAATTCTGAGTTGATGTTGCCTGTTATATTATGGTAGGGTGTGGAGCGATTGCGAGAACCAGTGCAGAGTTGTGATGTAGCACGTGACATCCAAACAGTTGTGTCCATCAAGGGCACAGGTCAGCCCATCCCTGAGCAGCTTCTACCAGACTTCTATGCAGAACACATCACTCTTGCCATGAACAGGGATCGCAGACGACAGGTACACGTTCTAGATTCATTTTAAGGTGTGTCAGGCACTGAAACGCAGAAGTAAGATTCCTGAACATAAATTTAGAAAGAGTTGTAGACAGCTGTGATATCAGAAATAAGAATTAGTGATATAAAAATAATGATTTTGGTGTGGGAAGATGGAGACAAAAGGGGTTGGACAGGAGGGAATGGAAAAATGTCTTGGAAGCAGCTAGGGCCAAAATTGGGCTGTAGAGCCATTAGTAGATATAAAACTAGTGAAGTAGGATCTTCTGATCTTCTTTCTATCTTCACAGATTTTCCAGTACTGGGCGCAAAAGCCTGTTACCAATGTCTCCTTGGCCTTTCTGTAGTTCTTTAGCATGTAGGTTCATAATTCCGAGCTATCTTCGGTCCTTTGCCTTCACCCATTTTATCTTCATGACCTTTTCATCTTATTTCATATGTTTTAATTTCTTCATCTGTACTATTAACCTTAAATTTCTTATGTATTTCACTGATGCCCCTCCCCATCGTACATATTCTGAAGTCCTCATTTCTGATGTAATAATAAATGTATTTTGTGTGATTTCAAAAATCTGCTCATGGCCATTAGTTTACAAGAGTGTTTCTATACTAATGCTCTTACCCCCATGGATATTTTCATGTAATATTTCATGTGTTCCTCGCCATTTTGGCTTATTACATATTTTTAAATACTTCAGTTCTCATATTTGTCATATCAGTTTATTGTATAACAGTCTTCCATCTTAATTGACTTGTTCCCTTCAGAGACAACTGTTTTTACATCATTAGCATAAATTTTCCTATCAGAGTCTTTCATTATTAAATTAAATAAAAATATATTTCTTTGTAAATCATCTTTAATTTCTGCAAACACAGTAATGTATAATAAGATCTAAAAGTTTGTGATGATGGTAAATTGTTACAATTAATATGTTGTTGGACATTATCCATCATCTTGTCCAGAGATAGGGGCTAGCTCTGTCTATTGGACCCAACTGAGTAGGTTTACCTGTAGAAGGGGACAGAATCCAGTCCCCGAAACGCTGTGTTTTTTTTTCAAGAAACAGGATGGTTTTTTAAGAACAGACAAGATGATGGATAATGTCCAACAACATATTAATTGTAACAGTAATATATGATAATCTGCCTGCAATAGATGTGGTAACATTTTCCTCCCCACAAAGATACCTTTTGATTTATGCTTTGTCTGTTATCATATTATTTTTGTCCATATACTATTAAATAAATTGGAGGAGGCCCACTTCCTTCTATAAGCCTAGACTTGAGAACTCTGTTCCTGATCAAATATGTTAGTTTCAAGATGTATATACATCCAGTGAGGGTTTTTCTACTTTTCACCCTCATTTCCTCAAAATCTCTGTGAATGAGGGAAATAGTAGATCTCTTTGTGGCCCAAGAGTAAGTTTACCAGATTAGGGTGTGTTGTTAGCTCTAACATACACAGTTCTTTAGCTATATGAGAATTAAGGCCCTGCAGTGAATTCTAAGATTGCAGTCTTCTGACATATGGCACTGTGTAGTGTGGTAGGCAGGTATCCAGACTACACAGCTTCACATACCAGAAGACTGTTATCTTACTTCTTCAACCGTTTATATTTCGATGTTTATGTGACTTGCAGGCACTGGTTAAGTTACTGCAATTGATACGACAAGACTTGGATCGAGAGCGACGAGGCAAGCAGGGGGTTGAGAATCTTGCGCGTGCCCTCCAACAGACACCTACGTTTGGTGCAGAAGACTCACAGCAAAACGTTACAGAAAAGTTGCATCATGTAAGTTTACAGGTATAAGAGGAGAATGAAGACAGCAACTGTGGTGTTATTCTTACTGCAGAAGTTATGTGACCTGCTTTCTAACTTTCATGCAATGGGTATGAAATATTTTAGAAGTACTGAGGATAAGACAAGGAAGGATAAAACTAGAGAGGAACTTGAATTCAGAATTTGTTAATATAAAGAGACAAGGTAGGAAGTGTTGGATCAGAGTACTCACAACAGTGGCTATGAGGAGCTCTAGCTACTGCTGTGTAGTCTAGCAAAATCAACTGATGGTTTAGAGGAAAGTATCATATGCATCTTAAGGGTCTATGAGGAAGCCAAGCAAGAAATCAGGATGAAGCAAGCAGCAAGCAGAGCTGCAGAGTAGCCACTCTTATGAAAGAAATGTTCTGTCTGTTCAATGAGATCTCCAGTATTGTGATTCTCGTTCCCATCATATTTTGAAAATAGAATCTGGTAACTTTCTAGTGATGATGTAAAGGTAAACACCATTATCTGATGATGATGATGCACATTCCAGGATTTTTCAGACATCGTACATAGATAGGGGAATCTGATAGAATCGCCAGTCTCATAGCGTCTTGGGATCAACATCTAATTTAACAATTCATTTTCGGTCTGCACTACAGCTCCCAAAACTTCTGACAAACTTTTGTTTTTTCATTGCATTCCATCTGATGGATACCGAGGCTCTTTTTCCCATGAGTGTGAAATTGACTGTTTGTCTCTATATTATTACATGATGGGGTGTCTATAGATGGGTCTTGGATTGATGATAGATTTACTGAGTTCTTTGACTACACTTTACAATTCACTATAACACACCTACACTAGTGACCACAGTCACGTCTTCAGTAGCCGTTGCTCAGCAGTGGCTTCCAATGGCAGATGTTCCCTTTCCTCTGGATTCCCAGGCTATCCCCAGCCTCAGCTACCAGCTTCTCACAGCAACGTCTTACAACGACTGCCAGCGGTTATCTAACTCACCAACTCACATTCCAACTGACTCCATTCCACTCCACTGACTGACTGAACTGAGCTGTCCTGCTTATAACATCTCAGCATGGATCATACAGAAGACACTGTTCCCCTGTTGCTATTTATGGGCTGTTACCTAGTAATATTTGTTTGTTATGTGGTCGTTGCCTAGCAATGGGTGTACATGAAACATTATATTGCTGAGTTTGGTAATGTGTGAAGCTATACAACTTCAAGACGTCATGCACAGTAACTTTATCTTGCTTCTCGCTTCTTGTGTGTGACAGATGCGGTCAATGCTTACTTACTTGGAAGCAATGCGGTACAAGGTTCAGAGTGCCCTAGCAGAACTGGATGGGCGGGCAAGGGGTGGACACCCACTGGCTGCCCACATACAAGTGACTCGGGACAGACAAGGTCTTCAGCAGAGTGTGCTCAAAGTATGAAACATTTCCTCCACACATGAGATTTAAAGTTCACATGATAATAACTATGAAGTTACTGTCTTCTAGAATTTCATGGTTCCAGTATTTGGTAGATACCAGCATTTTGGTGGATGGAACATGATGCCTCCATCTTCAGGGTAAAGAAGTAAGCCCAGCATGTAAAAATGGTATGGATATATGGAACAAGAGGGCAGGGTGTAGGGCCCTGAATGAACTAGCAATAGTAAGGAGAGTAGATTTTCTGACCACATCCCAGAAGGCAGTCATCTTAATTTTTTCGCAGTTTATGGAATAAGACACAGTTGTGTTCTGCAAGTCTTTACAGCAGAGCCAGCATCTATGATATGCTCAATAATATATTGATATGATCAGTAAATATATTTCACTGCTCAATACTACATGGCTGGCAGCCATGTTTTAATTTAGGTGTAATGATATTGGTGCCGGTCATGGTAGCCAAGCAGTCTAAGGCATCCACTGTCTTCGTTTGCTCGGAAGTCGGGATTGTGGGTCCAAATCCCACTCAGGGCATGGATGTTAAGTGTTTGTTTGTGTGTTTGCATTTTTCTGTGTCTGTGTACAGGTAGAGGCCTTGGAATGAGTTGATCACTTGCCCAAGGAGTCCTACCGAATGTGTAAGATCTAGAAAAACCGAAGTGAACAGAGAAGTTCATGGAGGTAGGCCAAGGCCTAAATTTGGCTGTAGCATCAAAGGAAAAAAACAATGATCCTGGTATTGAGAAAAATATGTAATATCAGAGTGAAACATAATGTATTTGGAATCAGTGTAAGGCATATCAGAAATAGAAAGAAATCTCACTATGAATGGATCATAGCTAGTGAAGAACACAAATTGTGCAGGTCCCTCCATGGGTGAGAGAGGAATCCCTGGACAGGTTAGCTGGAGACTCCCCTGACTGGACAGACAGGGGTACAGCAGATGGTAATTCAGTGCAGCCAGACAGTGACTTTGGTGAGTTGTTATTGAATCGTTAACTGGATTTCTCGTTCAAAATCTGCATTACTTTAGATATAAGAGACACTTAATCTATAAAGTAATATCACAGCTGGTATTATGAATGGTTAATATTTAGGGTTGCCATCTCTTAGATTTTTGGCAAGAGTCCCCCCAGAAAAGGGTTCTCTGTCCAATTACATTAGGTCTGAATTATGGTATCACAAGATATTTATGCACACTAAGTTCTGTTGGCTGATCATATATCATAATTTAAATATTTTAGATGTTATGTATTTCTATTGCAATGGAGTCTTGACATGAATTGTAAATTTTATTGAAAATATTGTTATCTTGACTATGATCCCTTACAAATGCCAGATGAATTTGTTTATAAAAAGAAATCTCTGGACTTGCAAAACTTCTGAGATTTCACTTCTTACGAGTATAACAGCTGGTTTCATGTGCATACAAGCATGTGTAGCCACGCTACAGACACTCACACATACTTGTGTAGATCAGTCTTTCTGGAGGAATGCTGTGAAAACAATGGGACATCTGTTGACATTATTAGCACTTCATCGATATAAATGAAGATTGGGTTACCCATAAGAATAACAGGGCCTGCCTGCCAGATATACTTCTTTCAAGACAAGCCAATCCCAGTGACAGGCATACACATAATTTCAGAATCACTGATTATGAGATTTTTCATTTAGTTGTTGGATGTCAACTTCTTATATTTTATCACATGAAGTATTTAGAAATATACATTCATTCATTCATTCATTCATTCATCAGTAATCTGTCAAGATGACAGGTCCACAGTCTCTTCCAAAACAGTTCCTCCACTTGATGCGATCTAGAGCTTTCTCCTTCAAATGAAAATATCCTCTTCTGTCCCCAAGGTCATCCAGCATCTTCTTACGTCTTCTTCCTCGTCTTCTGGTCACTTCTATCCGCCTCTCTCAGAAAGAAAGTTGCTACCTTACCAAGAGCTAGTTTAAGTGAGGGTTAAAAAAGTTGACTTTGTTCATCCTTAGTCAAAGCAGATCAGTGTCTGTCAGTTTATTGTTCTCATACCGTTACCATGGCTATGAAACACAAAAATGATCAACAGACTGTTTAATAAATTCCAGTCTGTATAAAAAATATCAGAATTGAAGCGAACAGTGTCTGAAGGCCTATTTTGGGTTATATTTATCTAAACTAAGATCTAGATTTTGTGACGATGGTACATTAATACAAATATTGTGTTTCTGAACATTTCCATCATCCTGTTTTTATTTAAGAACACAACGTTTCAGACACCTGCACCAACACAAGATAGGAATTATTTCTATCGATCGGACCTAACTGAGTAGGTTTTACATGAAGACGACAGAATCCATTCTGCAAAAGTTGTGTTTTTAAAAAAAACTGGATTCTGGATAATGTCCGGAAACATAATATTTATATTTATCTAATTGTTTTAACTTAATGGAGCAGAAGGGATGAGAGGGGAGAGGATGTAAGCTAGGCAAATAAAAGTGATGGGGAAAGAATAAGGGAAAGGGTAAGACAGGAGCTAAAGGTACAGACATTGATAAAAGGAAATGAAGAGACTTCCTATTGAATTTTCAGTGGCCATGAGATTAGTGTTAAATATTTGGGTATATGAAGCTTTGGAGCTAACAAAATGGTCTAGAGTGGGCTCATTTTAATGTGGATATGCTAACCAGAATGCCTGTGTTCAGATGAGTTCTCCAGTCAGGGCAGTGAGAAGGAATACCAGAGCAGTGTGCTGACCCAGTGCCCAGTCATCTCTGAGTGCGCCAGTGCCCCAAGTGTGGGTGCCACTCCCAGCACTGGACAGTGTCGAGCCCTCTATGAGTATACAGCCAATTTGTATGACGAGCTGAACTTGCAACCAGGTATGTGGGTTCTGTATTAGCTATGAAGTATTTAATTATACAAACAACTAAAAATAATTATCATTTTATGAACTAATATAATTACAGGTGATGTAATCAAGATTCATGACAAGCAAGCAGATGGCTGGTGGCTTGGGGAACTGAATGGTGTTGTGGGCATCTTCCCTGCAACATATGTACAAGAGATGGACTGACAGCCTAGTGTCTCCCTTAAATGTGTTCTGTCATGAGGCAGAGGCTTTAGAAATTCAAGATCTGTATCATATGATTACTGAAGTAAGCCTGTCACTGGAGAGATTGGATTTTGGACAGCGTTGGCAGGTAGTTGGCATTTTTTAAAGTGCCATGTGCATAGTTAGTTTGTAAGGAGTAACACGTGTTACTTTGCAGGTGAGGTGTGTTTTTCACTTCCCTTCCCTTGAGACCGAGCATTTGTTCTGTCCATGAACATTTAGACGGATGGATGCAAACTGCTGCAGTGTGTTAGAACTGCTGTTGACATAACCATGTTGTATGATGTAACATGTTAATGGGTCAATGTCTTGAAGCTCAAAGTGCCAACATATGGGATCCAGTGGATGAAGTTATCACTTTGGATTCAAAGTATAGTAACATTAAGCAAATGTTGTCTTTTTCCCGTTATAATGGATTTATTTGAAGCCGTGTGTAATATAGTGACTGGATGCAATGCTAATGAATGGAAACACGTGTTTAGTTTGGACTTGTTCTGTTAAACTATTTTGCTGTGGTTGATAGAACTGTCATGGTCTATCAGTAGATACGAAGAAATCTGTTACTTTAATGTACTCTATCGTCTCAGAATTGTATACCAGGACGATTGCGAATGTCACAGGTTCAGTGGCAGGTACCACTCACTTAACACCACAAGCATCAAAGTTAAGAAGTTAAAAGTGAAGACATTTGGAGATTAAACTGACAACATTCATTCTCTAAAACGTGCAAGTCTGGCATTGACTTCATGTGATGGTATGGAGTTACGGTAAACTCATCAGAATGTGTGTGCTGAATTCAGAATGAAAGGGATGAACATACCATGTATGGTGAATGAATGGTCAGAAAGTAAGTTTACAAGGTGTACAATCTTGAAATCAAATGACCTAGTTTTATTGTGCAGGCATTGGAGGGATATGTTAGTCACCACTGGTGACGCCGCATGTTGATTCACCTTCCAAATTATTTGAACATGGCTACTAAACTGAAACTGGAGTCAATAAAAGGGACATGAACTATCTTGACAGGAAATATAAAAAGTCATCACTGATATAAGTGTCTCATTTTGTATAGATCATGTCAGAAAGCACTAGGATGACAATAGTCACCTGGCATTTTTCATATCAGGGATTTAATAAAAACCTTACTTCCTGACTGACCCTCATATCATATCATTGAGCTGTTCACTAATTAACGTTAAACCCGAAGAATACTGTTGTTTGGGACGTAGCGCTGTGTAGTCTGTGGAAATCCCAGAAGACAATACTCTTCATAACCACCGCTGTGAGAACCTCAAATCCAACATTAAACTTGTTTGTTTTGTTATACTTTGGCAGTTGTTTAAATGAAAGAACAAATTTTATGGAAAATGTTAAAATTAAGCGGATAGTTCTTTTTGAAGATATGTGCCTTCTTGTAAACAAGGTCTGGAATGGAAGCATTCTTATCGAGGACTTAGAGATACACACAACTCTGTAACAGAATTCAATACCATGGATTCCCCAAGTCTTGCTATGCGTAAGGAAGGTTAACTGTGAAGATTACTGTCTTTTTGATGTGGCACTATGTAAACTGGTAGGAAGGTACTGATATTTCAGAGAAACCTGTTATCTTCATCTTTAGGTTAAAAGAATAAGCCACATGGAAAAACTAGGGTACATAATACAGGGAAAGGAAATGGTGCTATGTACAAGCCAATAGGGAATAATGCCCAAAAGTGTGTGGCCAAATGGGGGGAGGGGGAAAGAGGTAAGAAAATTTTTTGGGGGGGGGGAAGACTGGATAGTACATGGTTTCAAAACCCTGTATTATTCAATCTTCTATCTTAAAAGGTTCTGTTTTTCTCACTTCTGTTCCTCATGAAAATATTTCTCTTGCTTCATTCCCCACCAGATGTTTAGCTCCACTCTTTTAGGGGCCACCATCTCCCGCTGGTTCCTTGCAGCACCCATTCCTCCCCCTTCATCTATAAAAGTCGTCCTGTGTGGCTCAAGATGAAGGCAGTAGGTTTCTTTGAAATGTTAGTGCCTTTCTACTTGACTACATGCTGACATAACCCAGAAGACAGCAATCTTAATGTTCATTGCCCTAAACCTCACAAGTTTTACTGCATTTGAGCTATTAGATTATCAGATCATATGTAGTAGCAAGTCAACAGAACAGCTGTATCTACAAACGAGACCGCACAAGTGCTGTACCATTGTACAAGCTCTGACTGTGGAAGGAAAATACATACTTTCTCACTAGTTGTGACAGTTGTTACTTCAGAGTAACTCAGTGGTTTAGATAACTTGTGAAAAGCATATCTTGCTGAGTAGATGTCGCAGGTTATTGGTCTCTGGGGATATCTGATGCAGAAATTTGGTAATATACTGGTATTCATCTTCAAGCCTTTTAAATAAGTAAAATGTTCACAATGGCACTAATCTTGATTAATGCTTTAGAAAACCGTTTATCTGATTATCCCACTTTTCGAAGCACAATTATTATAACTTCTTGTTCAGCAATGTTCAGAATTCTCATTATTTTTTCTGTGGTTTATTTTATGATGCTGTTAGTATCTGGACTACAGAGTGTTGAATGGTAGGATGATGAATGGGTAAGATTTTGGAAGGACGAGATCAAGGCCAAGTGTGGCACTATCCTGGAATTTATCTGGCAGGACAGGAAAACCACAAGAAACCTGTCACGATAGCCTGTGTCCCAGCCAAGATTCAAACCGAGTACCTACCTCCTGAATACAAGTCTAGAGTATTACTGTTTCACCAGCCTATTAAGTCAAAAGTAATAATACCTACTTTGATTACATTAACAGTCTTTAAACTAGTCTCAGAGATGAGAACAATTTGTATCTTATATTTTTGTATTCTGTCATCTCCCAAATACTTGCAGAAGTTACCAGTATCTTTCATTTTCACAAATACCTAAATAAAGATTCCTCCTCCTTTCAAGTCATGTGTATATATAAACCAATTTTGGTAAGAGGACCCAAAATATCTGCAATTGGTCACGATACTGGGCCACAACCTAAAACCTGATTCCATAAGAATTTAATTAAAGTTAATCAAACAAGTTGTCTCAGATGGTTTCATTTAATTACTATAATGTATAGTATCTTGGTAGCTATGAAAGATGGAGTTTATATCATAGTTCGGCTGCAACATACTTTGTAGCTCTTCATAAGAAGCATGGACACATTTTAGTTTCTGTGGCAGGCACTGGATGATGATCGCCAAATTCTGAAAGTGTGTTGCTACTAACATACTTATAATCTTGATACAGTAAATAAACATATTTTGTTTTGTTTTTTAATTTCATGTTCCTGTTGACTGACCAGCATACCCTGATCACTACTTCCGTTCTTCCTTTACCAAGTATCCTCAAGAAAGCCAAAGCAGTCACTGGTAAGTATTTTTATTTATTATTTATTCAGATTCTATTATAATAATACATCTTTCCTTTACAAAGACACACTTCATATTTTACTGGACAAACACTATTATTTTTTAAATATTCTATTCTGTACAGTAAGGTATTTGAAAACATGCTTATAAGATTTCAATCATTCTGAAACATTAATAATAATAATAATACCAAAGTAAAATATTCCAAAAATTTTAAGAATAAGCTCTATCTGATGGGTCCAGCAGAATAGGCCTCTCCTGCATTTCGTCCCGAATCCAGAGACATAGCCAATCTCCAACACACAGAAACATTTACATTTTCTAATCAGACAATGGACTGTTTTGGTATGTGGAGCTTGTGCCCAAGTCTGTCCACACCTTTTAGTTTAATTTTTTTTAATTCACTTAGTGGGGGGTGGAGTCCAACTGGGTCCACTGATTGGCATATTGTAGCCTGCCCCGGGTGATTATGATGATGGAGAATTTGGTGGAATGAAGATTGGCAGGGGAAACCAAAGTAATCGGAGAAAACCAGCCCCAGCCCCACATTGTCCACCCGGGATCGAACCTGGGCCACCACCGTGGGAAGCCAGTGACTAACTGCTTGAGCTATGGTGCGGCCGCACACCTTTCAGTTACACCTGTGTACTGTAATTCTGAGGTCTTCATGATTGTGATTTTTCTCATAATAGTCTTCTGGCCTTTGACACCATGTAGTCTTGTAGACTGATATGACTGCTCAGAGACACATCTGTATCTGCCTACTCGTACAAGACTACATGGTTTCAAAACCCAGAAGATCACAGTTTATTCTTTATAAAATTTCTGCTACTTTCATTAGCTGAAAAACTAATGTCTGACTCAAGGTTTGTACAATGCCATATTTGTTTCAACACCCAGAAGCAAGCAAAGGGACTCATACGAGGACCCTCTGCTAAAAGAGTGAAGGAACTGTTGAAGTTAAACAGGAACCAGCTACGATGGGTGGTGGGACTACTTACAGGACACTGTCACCTTAAAGGACACCTCTTCAAACTGGGACTAAGTGATAGTCCCACTTGAGACGTGTGAATGTGAGGCCTTAGCTTATTTAAGATTGCGCCACTTGGGTCAATACTTTATGGAACCAAGTGACTATTTCAATGCCGCCACATACAAAATCCTATGCTTCATTCAAAGCGCAGGATTGCTGAGGGGATAATCAAAAGGGGAAGCACAATTGATCACTGTAGGTTGCGGTGCAAGGGCCAAGAAGGCCCACCCCTTATACATTCAATACCCAGACTATCTGGTTACATCTATATTCCTCGGGAGCTGCTTCCATTAGATGTCAAGAAACCAAATTTCACATAACTGAATTATGACATTCAGCATTCAGCCTTTTCAAGCATTAGTCATGTTGCTGGTGTCATAACAAAATTTGCAAGTTTCCTGTATCATCATCATACACAACTTCAGGCATGATGCAGATGTTCCCATCTGCTACACCTGTCTGGTGATCAATAACATGGCTTTCATACGAAGTATTACGGTCTTTCTCATGGTGGTGGTTATGAAGAGTTCTATCTTCTGGGATATAACACCATGTAGCAGCATTATATTTCCCAGAAGATGGAACGGTTTATTGCTGTGTAGTTTTGTAGACAGGTACATGATGACACATCCCTGCAATCTTAGTACTTGCTGCCGTGACAACCACAAACCTCATCAGTTGGCTCAAAGCTTATTAGGGGAAACACAAACTTGTGGACATAGTGACTATGGAAGTCTCCATTCCCTATCACTGCAAAGTTCTAAAGCATCTGCACGTTGCGCTCCTTTAATTAATTAAAATGGTCAGTTAGTTTGAAATTTTAATTATTTAATTCTAAAAATGTAGGACATGAAAACAGTTTGAAGGTCTATAATGATAATGTAATACTTAAAATACAACTTTGTTAACTTGACTTGGAATAATTTAAGACACTACAAAATTCAAGTCAGTAACTTTCCTTGTCTGGGAATGATAATTACAAATTTGATGAAGAGCAGAAAGATCTACTGGAAAAGGAATGAAAAGTTTGATGCAGCTTTCAGCACTCTGAAGTTTGCCCTTCCTCATTGGCATCCGGGTCATAATGTCAGTGGAGAAGGGGGATATCCATGACTTTTTTTTAGCACTGTTAGCCATTTCAGGTACGAATTACAGTGCTCAACAGGTGAAATTTATAGAAGGTGGATAATTCGAACTCACTTAATTCAAGCCAAATGAGGTTTTACCGTACAATGGAAAATGAAAGGCAACCTTTTTTTGCTAAGCGAATGATTTCATGGCATAGTAGAAACATGGAACATAAGATGGGTCACTGTGTCTCTTCCTACTTCCTGCAACTTTTATTTCGCTTCATTGATATAGCAACAATTTTCAAAATACTGTCCCTCTGTTTCTCCTGCAGGACATGAAGTCATGATTGCATATTCAAGATTTCTTGGATACTTTCTTCTCAGTTGCATGCTTCTTCTTTCTGCTGGACATTTGGATGAACAGCTTGCGAACGTGTGATATGAAACCCTGCGTGTCCTGTGTTGTCTCCAGTTTCTCTGCCAGATCCTTCTCACAAGGTAAAACGGGTTCCATTTCAAGCACTGCAAAAATATGGGATTTCAGTACCAATAAAACCTGCAAGATCCTTACACATTTCACTTGCTGAACTTTACTGTTACTAACATGAGTACTTGTCCTGTAATCCTGTGCTGATACCTACATAGTTGAACATGGGGCTGTAAAGGGTTATCTACAGAGAAACATTATGTATGCAATAATTATGGTACATAGCAATTCTGAGTGTAAACATCCATAGATGGTTATTTCCTCAGAGTCTACTGTGTGCTCTGCCATAAAATGTATAAATCAAGCCTCTATTAGGGCATGCCATAGCTCTGGCAGTTGCTAGTTTCTCAGCAAGGAGGCCCAGGTTTAATTTCAGATTAGATAATGTGGGTTTCATGGTAAAGGATAGATTCTTCTCCAAGCATTTTGTGATTCCCCTGTCAGTTACCATTCCATCATTGTTACATACCCATCTATCATCAGGGGCTGCAGTAGGGACCCAGTCTCACTTCACTCCTACAACTATCTAAAATCTAATGTTCTGATTAGCTATACATGCTAACACTGCATAACCATTGCTGAAATAAATACAAGAGATGTAGAATTGTAGCTGGATACATTTCAGTAGGGCAAGCCTCTAAGAGGAATACTTACGACTCCATCTTCCATCAGAATTACTCAGCTTCAGAGAACACATCTGGCATCCTGGTGCAGAGATGTTCAGAAAGTGGACAAGGATTACTTCATTTTCATCAAATCTGAGTCTTATATTCAATTTCTTCTTGTAATATGCCATGGCCTTCAAAAATATCTCATGCTTTTTTACCAGTTCCTTTTGAAATTGTTCTTTTTCTGAAAATATATTGTGGTATACATACATTACTTTCATATGACCATAAATGGACTTTGATGAGAATATATATACTTCATGTAGGTTCTCACAATGGAGAAGATTCATATTGTCACCTTCTGGCCTAAGACACCATACAGTCTTGTATGTATGTACCAGGTTTTCGGTGGAACATACAGCCTCCATCTTCTACCTAGTAGATGAGGTAGTTTGTTTCTCTGAAACACTAGTGCTTACCTATCAGACTACAAGCTGTCATAACCCAGAAGACAACAGTATACATGCACTTTGCCACTAGAAACTAACAGAAAGTTACATCCTTGCGCTCATTTTAACTTATGAACAAACATTTCTCTTTCAGTTACCTGTAAAAATGTGCATTAATATTTTCATAACCCTTTCTTCCACTTAGGACAATATAATAACATTAAAATGAAAAGTACTCTTTCCCCCAGATTCAAAATATAATCTTAGTTAGTAGTTTAGTTTTAAGTTTAGCTTAAATCCTAGTTAGTAGTTTAGTTTTAAGTTTAGCTTAAGTTTCTCCCCTTCTCCCAGGCCCCAACCTATTCATATATGGAGGGGAACTAATGAGCTCCCCTCCACACGTCATTTCACACAACTCGCAACAATTTGCTAAATGTATTCATACAGATTGCAAATAAATGGGGATCAAAAAAAAAAAAAACCTCTTTCCCCTCTAAGATAATGAATTATCATAATGTAAATATCCAGGAAAAGAAGTTGGCTGATAGAGGCACTAGTGTTTTACAAGGAAAGATCAAAGGCATAACCTTTCTTATGTCACATACAGTATTATCCCACATTTGAGATTTTCCCTTTCATGTCATTTCCAACATATTCTGCCAGTGCCTTCCTGCCTCTCTATATATTATATATCTGCAATCTGTCATTCATTTCTTGTAAGTGATCCTAGATGGCAGGAGTAGCTCTTTTACTGTACTGGCAGATTAAGAATAACTGCATATTAATTTTACCTGAGATTAAGACGCATCAAATCAAGATTCAAGTAGCAACTAATTCCATTAATTCATTTTAATCCATAGAGATTACAGCGTTAAATGGCTGTATGCTTATGAAAGGACATGGGACAATGCAGTTATGGTCTAGTTTTTAAATTAAATTTTAAATATTCACTTAGTTTTATTCCATGTTATGTCTCACTCTGGATATAACATAAATTCTGTGGAGTTCTTTACCATTCTGTCAGAACAAGGGACAGTCCTCCTGTTGGTTACATTACAATTTCCCTTTTCGTGAAGACACCACACAGCTTGGTTGGTATGCAAATACCAAGGTTCAGAGGGACTTGCTGTCTCATCTTCAACCTTGAAGACGAGACAGCAGCTTCTTTCAAAATAGTGGTATCAACTTACATGATATCACATCCCACAAGACCATAATCTTGACAATGACCACCATGACAACTGGATACCTTTGCTTTTCATATCCATACATACCTGCTTCTGCCTTGCTTTTCTTCACAAGCAAATCCTGCTGACCTTCCGTCTCTACTGCGATCTCCTTTCTTAACTCTAAGATTGTAGACTCCAAAGAGGGTATCTCTTCTTTGTTTGCAAGCTCCTTACTTTTCAATGTATAAATATTCACCTCTACTTTGTTGCATTCTTGAGATAACATTCTGCTTGTTGCTTGTAATTCTTTTATTTTTGCTACATGCAGGAGGAAATAAACATTACAAGATACTGAAAACTACGTTCAAAATTAACGTTAATTAACAAATGCTGAAATGTCAAGATTATATCAGATATTTTCTACAGTTTTGAATATATTTAATGTTCAGAATATATCAATTCAATGTTTCCCACTTGTAAGAGATCTGATACAATTTCTTACAAGCCTTACTTTTCTGTTGTTTGAGGTAAGTGTAATATTGAATCTAAAAGGGAAGAAACAACAAGGCTTGGAAGATATTACTCAAAGAGAAACCTCTGAGATTTATGTAGATTATCAAGTAATGTAAGTAAATTATAGACCAGTGTCTTTTTTAAACCAAACCATGTGAGCAATGTGTTCATCTGTTTCCTAGGTTTTAAAAAAGCAAAGGCATTTGATGGTAACAGTTTTCTGGATTGTATGACACAAACTCCGTCCTAAGCGCAACAATTTATTGTTACACACGTATTAAAGACAAGCAGCGACACGCACACAGGGAACCTGCACAGAATAATACCTGAACGGTGCTGAAAGCAAGAAGTAGCCACTGCATCACTGTAGACCTTGAGCAGGTATCCCTGTGAATTTTGGAATTTTAAATTTTAAAATTTAAATTGAAGATTTTAAAAATACCAAAATTCAAAATGATGTATGTAAATTAACAAAGATTTTATACGTATCTGACAAATATCAGCAAAGGGGATTCTGATATATCAGGACCTATTAACAACGGAAAAATGAATTAAGAATGCTGGTGTTTTTCAATTTTAAACTACGTGCAGTGTAACAGTTACGTGAGAGAAAAACACCTGAGGATCGCCATTTACGGATAAAACATGTAGTGTAGAAGAAAAGAAGACAAAAGAACTATAATATATCGTTGCACTTAGGGCGGAGTCTGTGTCATACATTGTGTAGAGTGTAACAGGATGCTTAAATATAATACTGTTTTCTGGACTGGTCAAAAATTTCAGTGAACCAGTGAGTGAGAAATATTGATCTAGAGGTTTATGATAGGCTAGACATGTAGGTTGAATGGGGGAGGCGAGAAATCCATCCAAGATTCTGCTAAGATAGTTCCTCAGGACTGTATCAAATGGCTACATTGCTACAAGTGTAGAACTGGCATATGAAAGGGCATCTTTGTAGTAACATTGACCATTAATACTTCAATCAATATATTGGTGCATATTCTAAGAGCGGAAATAAATAACTTTTCTATACTTACAAGACACATTCTGGGTTTTCAATCCAGTTTACTTACCAACGGTCAACTGTTGCATTCTTATTACTTCCTCTATATACCTTGAACTGTTAATCAAAATCCTCTCCCACTGTTTCCTACGTGTTTGTAAAGTATTATCTTTGCGCTGTAAAACTAGTGGTACATTCACATAGCACGATATATCCATTTTGTGAAGTATTTGAATTTTAGGGGCAATTCAAATTAATGTATCTGATCCGTATCTAACCGCCTTTTATTGCTAACGGATGTTCAAATATCTGTTTACAGCGTCCTACATCACCAACGCGCCACGAAAGCGCCCTACGCTATTACCAGGTGTAACCAGTCTTATCTTTATTGCAAATCTGAACAGTGTTTAAAACAATATTTGGTGAACTATTTAGTATGTTCTTGTCACTTAAACAATTTGCACACGTTTTGTTTTCAACAGATAACGTAATTTTCCCTATTATATGAAAAATAAGACGTTAAAGATGGTGTGAACGTATACAGCCTTACGAAACTTAACGTAGTGCTGATATGAGTATTTGCTCAATTCTACTCAAAGCGCATTACAATTCCTGCACTTCCAACATTAATTGTTCTTTCTGACACTCACTAAATCCAAGATACAAGAACTGGATTTCACATCTCCAAACCTAAATCCCCCCAAAGTAAGAGTATACCGAAATTTTTATTCGTGCAAGAATAACCTCGTTGAAATTTATCTTTGCTGTGCCGAATTTCGATACAGAGCATTCGATAATCTTCTGTAACCTTTGGTGACGAATAGTAAAGAAAAAGAAGTAAAGAAGACGGAAAGTACCGGCAAGTAGGGTAGGGATGTAGGGATCGTAGGGATAGTACGACTGCTGTGGTGATCGGTCTTAGTTAGAGTTGACCAAATTTGTATTGCCATCTCCGTCAGAAATTTGATCGAGAAGTCCACTGAAGGAAGAAAGGAATTTACAGGGAAATCTCGTTATGTCTGATAATGTCTGTGTTACGATACCCAAATAATCCTGATCATAACAATAATCTCATTAAAAGTCTTCCGCACATTCCAATTCGAAACGATTATAAAAATAATAATTACGAAATTGCAAATGCTTTGAAATTGTTACTTAAAATGGGGTCCTTTCAGAATTCTCAATGTGTCGGATTTAAACCGAAAGACAGTTGGCTTATGTGATTGGTAAATATTTAAAATTTTTAAAATAGGAGCAAAGGATAATTTCAGGAAGTAGATTGATTACATGCATTTTCTTGGATCTGATATGATCATAGATTCATCAATAACCAGCAACTTATTATACTGTAAATAATTTAAACAAAATGTGGCAACATTGTCACATGTTAATGATTAGACGCGGCTTTGGATTGATAATTACATTTATTGCTAATAATTACAAAGGATTACAACACTCAGTAATCGCCTTTATCCGTTCATCGCCACGATGTAGTGTTGCATATTGTATTTGTTTCACCAGACTACTTCCATCTGCTTCCTGAGGTTGTCCTCGTCGGAAGTTTTCGAAGATGGTCTGTTGTCCCGCCCTGCTGTCTTGTTCCGAGTGGACTTGATGCTTTAGCCAATTTAACCTTATATGCGAGCTGCTCTTTCAACTTCATTCTGTAATATGCAGGAATACTGATTTGTGGCATATTCAACATTATCCACTGCAAGTCTTTTTCTTCATCCGTCGTCCAGTTCCCTACTTCGTCCTGGTGAACGTCGTCCTTGGGGGCTGAACCTACATGTGGGTTGCTGCTTTTTGGCAGATTCTGTAGCATCCAGCGCAGTATGTTCAAACTCCTTTCCAAGAAATATTGACATGTTGGTTTCACGACATCCCAGAGTAAGTGTAGATTTATGACAATATCCCGCAGTAAGTTTGCTTTTTCATCCTTTGTCCCGTCCTGTTGTACTTGGTACTGGTGAAGGTGGTCCTTGGGACCTAACCTTAGACAGGGGTTGCTGCTTTCTGGCTGAATCTGTAGCATGCAGCACATTCTGTTTAAACTCATTTCCAAGACGTACTGATATTTGGGTCTTATGACATTATCCCACAATAAGTGTAGATTCATGGCAATGTCCCACAGCAAATTTGCTGCTCCATCCAGATATATTGTTATTTCTCTCATTTGTCTACTATTCCAGGCATATGCCCATATCCCAAGACTCAATAGTGTGTTTACCATCATAAGATTAAAGAAAATGGGCAGTGAACAAATTTCAACACAGCCAAAAATTCTGGATAAAATGTAGCATATCCCAGCTGTAGCACAGAAGACAGCAGGAGTTCTTGCAGCTTTGAAGTTTTTACTTTTATTGTGCATCTTGAACTGTCCGTAGAGAACTTCTAGTTTGTTTTCTAGCTTCACTTTATATGGTTCAAAGAAAAGTTGGGACCCCGTTTTACATTTATTGTTGAACTGCTGTAATGCTCTAACTATAATTCTCTGGTGTACAGCCTCAAGATGTGCAGTGCTGAGACATGGCTTGTCACCACGACATACCTCCTCCATCAACGCTGAGTAAGTTTCCTTTGCTGCTCTTACTTCTGACAGATTGTCAGCTTCAGCTGCATCAGGCAAGATGATTTTCGGTCCAGGAAGCTCAGCACCCTTATAAAATTCAAGATATGATTTGAAATGCTGGAACATTTCCTTTGCCTTCACTTTCTGACCAATTTCTTTAACAAGTAAGTTCTCAGGGGCCAGCGTCATTGTAACAAATTTATGAAGCTGGCTAACCTGACTTAGGTTTTTTCATGGTTTTTCACAGTACCACCAGGCAAATGTTGATTGGACTTAGTATCTGTAATCAGGTGACAAGCACCAAGACTTTTGAATACATTATTTACTAATCATCAACCCTTTGATACTATACAGTTTCCGCTACGAAGTGTGTTGTGAGATCATGCAAGGAAATGTGGTTCAGTAGCAGTTTCTCCAGTCTTCTTCTCCCATCTTTTATTTCTTTTTTCTCCCTGTGCCATGTGCATGATACAAGGGTAGAAAAAACGCTACTAGGAATTACATGTGAAATTGAAATAGGGATGAATAAATAGCTCAGAACATGACTAAATGGAAAACCAATAGTTCTTGTAATTTTATTCATTGCAAAGTGAATTGAATGTTAATCATCACAGTATTCTCACTGCAAACTCAGAGTCAGTTTGGCAGGTGCACATTGCTTGGCAGAATGAGAGTATGTTTCTAATAGATCTGTAACTTTAAGCATACTGTGATATTAAAAAGATATTTTGGCAAAGAAGTTTCAAGATGGTCAGTACAGTCAGAAGAATTCCGTCTTCTGGGGTATTGTCTGAATTTCCGGGGGAACATGTCCCCTGAATCTTCAGGGTCAAAGAATAAACGAAACAAGAAGCCAGCATGAAGCAGATGGGAAGTTTGGCTTTGTTACCTGCCAGCTCTGGTTTCTTGCTTGATTTATTCTTCAACCCTGAAGATGGAGGCAACATGTTTCTGCAAACTGTCTGATGACTTTCGACAGACTACACGGCATTATATCCCAGATGACAGAACTCTCAAAACCACTGCTGACAGAAGCTCAAATCCTACACAGTAGTCAGTACTTTGCAGTGCAGTAATTTTATATACAGTGGTTGGTGGGTAAGCAGTTCAGATTTCAGACTATCTCAAGGTAATTTTGAATTGGTAATTTTTGGACTGCGCATTTGTGTTCTGCCAGTCTCATACAAAATTTACATTACAGGACTTTGAGAAGGAAATGATTGAAGAGAAGAAACGTCAGGAAGAAGAAGGCAAACGTGGAGCTTGGAATGAAGTTGAGATTGGTGAGTCATTAGCAGATTATTTATGTACCACATAGGCCTATTCAAATTAAGAGATATTGACGCTTTAGTATTGGTTTTAATTGTGTGTTTATATTTTCAAGTATTTCATAAATGGTGAACCATATTTAATCATATACTGCAGTTTTGTTAGGGGTTTTAGTAGAAACACATTAATCATTACTGTTTAATATTAGTAGTGGTAGGTTAGTTGGTTGAGTTGGAAGGTCGTGGGTTCAAGTCCCGATGAGGTCATTAATTTTTTCAATTGACCCAATCCTTCTAGCTGCACTATGGCCCTGGGGTCAACTCAGCCTCTTAACAGAAATGAGTACCAGGAGTTTTCGTGGGGGGTAAAGTGCAGCCGATTTCGAAGGCTGACAACCTCACCACCATCTGTGAGCCGATTGACTAGAAAATATTGGAACCTCGGCGTCTCACAACCCTATGGACCTCCACAGTCTGTTACAGGGATAATTATTTTTTTTTTTACTGTATAGTGTCTTGGTATGTTATGAATGTTACTCATGAGGAATGTCGTCTTCTGGGATGTGGCACTGTATAGATATTGTGTAAACTGATGTTTTGGAGGAATGTATCGCCTCCATCTTCATGGTATAAAAATCCACAAGCAAACTAGCGTGACCAGGTGGCTGCAGACTAAGTCACCTAAGTTGTCCTGTAGCTGTCAAGTCTTCTCCGCAGCAGGCCTTAGGGAAGAGAGTTCTCATGGGCACAAGGATCGGCCACTTGCTTTGATTATGGAGTCAAGTAGGAGATTTTGAAGGGTAAAGAATATCTGAGCTTTGAATACATTGTCATGTCCTCTGTAACTGGATTGCAAGTCTTGTCTTGTCTCTCGGGATTGACCCACTTTGGTATTAGGGAGGTGTACATGATGGTCAAGACAGGACGAAGTAAGCAGGCAAGAATTTTATATACAGCATTGCTTTATCTTTTTCAGAGATGATGAAAAGTTTGGGCGTTGCGAGTGCTACATTGGTCCGACCTCAGACTTCAAAGAAAAGGAGGGCTACAAACCAAATGTTAAACTCGACTACATAGATGATGATGGACACGTACTTAATGCAAAGGAGGCTTTCAGGTTAGCACAGATAATAGCATATCTGTTTTTAAGATAGGTCACACTGTTGAGGGTACCCTGTCCAAAGGTAGGACATTCAGAAAAAGTTTCCACAGTAATTGCCATTTAAAAAAAAAATTCCAAGGAGGAAGCAGTTTTTCAGTGGAAACAGAAAAGATTATGGGACTACCGTGTTTATCGTCCATGTGTGCCATCCTCACGATAATGTGTGAACCAACTGGTGGATTTATGTGGAACTCTTTAGTGTCATCATGCCACTCACATGTTCTTTTAGTTGTCTACCATCAGCCATGTTAACATGGTGACTGAGTTGGGAGCACCACTAGAGTGACTTAAATTAGGTCCTTAAGAAAAAGGTCCTGGGGTAAGCTGTTATACACATTCAGAAGGTTCTGAGTTTGAACCCCACTCACGTCTGTGTACAGATTTTTCTGCTCACAGATGATGCCTTTACATCTACCAGAGTTTGAGCTTCAGGAATACAAAGGATACCCCCCCCCCCCATTGGGTTAGAGCCCATGTTAAATTGTAGGGTCCCTCTGCTGAC